TGTTCATCCGGGCTTTCATGCAGGCTTGAGGTCACAGTTTTCTTATGCAACACTGGGGATGTCTATCAGCGGGGAATGTGAGGCATGGATATACAAGCCGAGTCAGGGTTTTCTCTTCAAAAGAGAACCGGTGGAAGAAAAGAGAACTCGTCTGGCCTTGTGCCGACAGACAGCGACAAGAATCTGAGCTGAGTTTAGTCCCAACATTGTGCAGAGAAAGATTAAAGGGATTGGAGATAACGGACAGCGAGGGCACATCATGCAGGATGCTGGCTCAGCACCAGGGGTGGAGAGCATCCAAGTGTATTTACTCGAGTACTGTACTTATAGAGCACATTTTCTGCTTTCCTGTAGTGTGTTCTATAGGTTTTAGTGCATGTAAATGGTCTGCAAAGGCTACAATCCCTGTGTTCCCTCCAGAGGAAGTTTCTCTCCCACACTCTCCCCTGTTTTTGTGTTAAACATCTCAGTACTTTGTATTGGGAGTATTTTACAGTGTGTATGTAATTAGTACTTTTGCTTAAGTAAGGGATCTGAGAACTTCCACTGTTCAGCACAAAGGTCATAGCAAGGACACACACACACACACACACACACACACACACACACACACACACACACACACACACACACACACACACACAACACACCCACACACACAACACACACCACACACACACACACACACACACACTATGTCATGATGTAACAAAACAACACACATGTGCAGCCGGGGACGACCTTTGACCCCGATGCAGCTGATTAGACCGTCTGCTTCCTGGTAAGCAGCGCTGATTTAAAAAGGAAAAATCAATGGGGAGTTTCTCATTCTGCAGAACGCAGCGCTGGCCCCCGGACACACAGCAGTCACTGTTTCAAAAGCATGCATGAGGGGAAGGTGCTTTACCATGGCGCCGGGGAAGGAGTGGGTCAACCAACGAGGAACGGCCGGGACCAGTCTGCACGAGAGCAACATAGAGAGGTTATTCTGACAGTAAAACATGTCAATAATACAGGATATTGTGCACACATTGCGTTATATGTGAGGAAAGCAACATCAGAAGTGACTTGAACACTAACTTTCTAATGCAACATCTGACAAATAACGACAAAGAAATAGCATAGAAAGATAGATATACGTGCATTTTATTAAACAGCATAAATATGAAGCTTGAAATGAATTACTTGAATGTTTATATCACTGTTTAAGGAGAATGTTAACGCTATGTAATTTACCTGGGCTTGAGGCAGTGACCGCAAAATGCAATGTCCCTGATTCAATGTATTCCCAATCTCTCTCTCCACTCGTTTCCTGTAGTTTCTCTCCTGTAGTAAACTCTCATTTAAAGGCATAACATGCACTAAACGTATATCTGATCAACAGTGTTGTTTTTCATATGCTTTAGCAGTTGCCCCAAAGGAGGCACATGTTGAGTCTCAGATTACAGTTAGTCCATATTAGATTACAAGTAATAAAGGATAAACAATAAAATAAAAAGGTAAAACAATATGAATTCAACACATAAGAATGTGCAATAAAATGATAGATATAAATAGGATAAAGATATGTAAATAAGGAAAAGCACACTACCCAGTAAAACCAATGTATATATAGAATAAAAACGTTAATATAAACACAGATCACTGTTTATACTCTGAATGGACTCACTACCCTGACGTGAGACACCAAACAACCACCTGTCCTTTAACTCAGATTGACTGAGACTGCAGATGTTCAAATGACTCAGAAGAAAGGCTTTGCTATGCAGGGGGGGGTCTGCAGGGGGGGGTCTGCAGGTCAAGCTGCTGACCTGTTCCATTTGGGATGTTTTGGGCTCTGGGAAAGAATTGATCAGAGCCCATGGTCGACAGGAGGCGGCGAGTAAGCTCAATAGAAAATCCATTTGTATGAAATGGCACTCAAAGGGGGCGGGGCTTGGCTAGCAGTGGCAGGATGTTGGGCAGGATGTAAGTCATATGATAAGTTGTTTAAAATGTAGTAAAGTTTTAGTTTGTTTGTTTTTAGTTTTGGAAGCACGAGTGGGGATGAAATATAACTGAATGACATTAACTGCATTAACTCTAATGTCTTTTCTTTCCCTCATCTTTTGTTTTTATGTATGATCATTAGTTGGTATTTGTTTTTGGAGAAAGTGCCTTTTCGGTGTCATATTGAAATCTTGAACGTAATGTAATTAAACCCCCTACTCATACAATTATACTAGGGCTGCTCAATTCATCTTATTTTAATCGCAATTACAATCTTTGGCTTGCAACGATTATGAAAACAACATAATCGAAATAAAACGACTTTTTTCAGTTGAGTTATATTAAAGGTGGGGTAGGTAAGTTTCAGAAACCGGCTCGAGAAACACTTTTTGTTATATTCCATGGAATGCTCTTAACATCCCGATAGCAATGGATATCTGAAGTGCTTTGACAAAAAATCCATATAGAAATGTCATCTGTGGAAGCCGTGAAAAGTACGACCAATCCGTTTAGCCGGGCCGTCTGTCAGCCTTCCATCTCGTGCACGCACAAATGTATCTCGTGCCCTCATTGCCGTCATTGGGCGTGCATTGCGCGTTCAAGTGTGTTGGAGGAGGTGCTCTGTAAGGAAGTCTGAAGGAAGGGGCGGATTCTTTTCGGCTGTGTACTTTCAAATGTGAGTGCACTCGAGCCGGTTTCTGAAACGTACCTACCCCACACTTAAAGTTCAGGGTGATCAACTGTTAAAAACATACTATTCAAAAAATGTTCAATAAATTGATGTTTTCAAAGTAAATGGATAATCGTTTTTAATAATCGTGATATTAATTATTGACCCAAATAATCGAGATTATGATTTTTGCCATAATCGAGCAGCCCTAAATTATACACACACATAAAGCACTGGTGGCCACTTTTAAAGAAGCAGCAAATAAAACCAGTAATGTCATATATGTGTAGACTTACCAGACAATCGGTAACGGACAGTGAGCAGTCCTGATGATCCTGTTTGGAAACTCTTACACGTAAGACATGGAAATCTGTGGAGAAGAAGGAAAACAAACTAATTATTTTCCTAACAAACAGCAGACTTTTTCAGTAAAGAAAAGTCAAGCCACAGAAGCTCTTGATTCGTAAATATAGCTGTGCTGGTGGTCAGAGTGGCGTGCATGTGAGGGAAGAGATACCACTTACACTCAGCTGTGGGATGGAAAGAAAGCCATCTGGATCCTAAAGCACTAACTGTACCAGCACACGGCCTATGAACTGACCATGTAACGTCCACATGCAGGAGTAAACAACAACACTTGACCCATGCATAATATTATTTTACCCCCTGCCGTCACATCTGGAGGTCAACACCAGCTAATGAAAGGTATTGGGGACGTACTTCTTTTTTTAATATAGCCTCCTGTGGTTGAAGCTAGCCCCAGATGATTAGTTACTTTATGAGAAACTGTACTCAACAAAACTGTTATTAAGTCTGAGTTATTTGATAAGAAACAGTGTTTCTGCCAGACCAGGGCTGAGAGGGCGTCCACTGAGAGGGGGGGATGACGTCACGTCGTGTCACGTCGTGTCACGTGACTTGCATTTTGAATTGAGCCGTCCCTTATAGATACTCTCTCTTTACGTATTAGTGATGGGAATTCCAGCTCTTTTTAGTGAGCCGGATCAGTTGGCTCGGCTCACTAAGAGGAACCGGCTCTTTCGGCTCCTAAACGGCTCTTCATTTTACCACAGTTCACCACGGCGCCTCAGTTTCGCCGCTGCGAGGCTCCGGCGCTTGCAGTGTCCTCCACTAGCACCCCCGTCAAGGCTCGCCGGCAGTACACTTT